TGGAAGAATTACGCTTCTTAATTTAGTGTCAACAGTTGCAAACAATCTGCACAACAGGGAATTCCATGTCAAAAGGCAAACAGTCAGGCACGTAGTATACAAGTAATGATTTACATAAAATATATATTTAACACATGAAAGCACAAATTTCTTTCCTATATAAAGCTCAATACCAATGGTGGAATGTGTGTGCCTTCAAAATCATTTAATTCATCAATATCTAGCATCTAGCAATACAATGACTTCAGCAAAACAAGAGCCTGGGCATTTGCTTGGCTTTGGTCTTCTCTTTAGCAGCTAGGGTTTAATTGGGAGTATATATATATATATATATATTATTTTTTTTTAACGGGTATAGCGGGGATGGGGAGGGGAGGGGCGGGGCAGGGGTAAGGGTAAGTCCATCCCTGCTTTCATCGCCACATAGATTTATACGGGTATTCTCGTATACGTTAACCATCCAATACGTATAGTCCATCCCTGATCCAAACAGACGGGTTTGAACGAATACCGATTTTTTCTCAGTTCACTGTCATCGGATGTGTCTACTTGATGGGAACAGATGATCTTTGTCTAAGTTTTTTTCTATGTCTTGAGGATCAAAAACTTAAATTTTTTAAAATAATTATTAATTTATTATTAAATGAATTTTATTTAAACGAGTAAACGTATGATAAATGGTTTGACAAGTCTCACCCGAACATGACCCGTTTATTAAATGTGTCTAGCCGGTCAACCCATTTACCACCCAAACTTGTTAAGGCCTCACTTAAACCCGCTTAATTCATGTTGATTAATCGCGTGGTGTCGAATTTTGATAGGTCTAAGTTAAGGGAATAATATAAGAAGGGGCATATTTAGGCCTCCTATTACCATGATAAATTACACTTTATGTCCTTAAACTATATTTCTTATCTCATTTCACTGCTCTAGTACTATTGGATGTCTTATATTGGTCCCTCGACTTGTTAATTGATTCCACGTTCCCAAAAAGAAGCATTTGTTGTGTTTTAGATGAAAAACGTTTTGGTATCATTAACTTTTAGGGCAAAGTGAAATAAAATTACATAATTCATGCGCGGGAGATTTTCTGCAATAGATTGAGATAGCAATCCTCTCGATGATGAACCTGAAACAACCAGAAGATCAGAAAAGGGGCCGGGTGAACACCCAACTTATCCCCTCCAAAGTTTAAGCCAGTCCAAGATTGGAGGCTTGAGCACAATATATATCATGTTTCTCAGTTTTGTCTTATGTACCTTTGTTCATTTTTTCTAATGAGTATTTATACCTGAATTAGTAATGAGTGCAAAGGTAGGAAGTCCCATCTTGACATTTAATGATTTGCACCCTCACCACGCGTAATGAGTGTTTTCCACTCAGATACTCATGCTATTAATGCTCAGGTGATAGGTCAAGTGCTCGGGGCCACGCCGAGCACTTATGGCTATCCCTAGGCACTCAAGTTCCTTTGATCGGCACCTAACACCTATTTTTGAATGTTTAGCGCTCGGGGGAACAATTGCTTAGAGTGTGTCGAGGACACAAACTTGGCGCAATAGCTATTAATGTATTGTAATCATGACTATCAGTGTGGGTCTCAAGGATGCACGGGCTCATTAATAGCCCTATCCTACTCACTCACATCCTCATTAATGAGTTGTCAAGTCTTCTTAAATGTTGGTGTCAGTAGGTGTACTTGGCTCTCCCAAGTAATAACTGCTCGGCGCCTTCTCCCGGTGTCTTTTGAGTTTTATAACAGCTGTATTAATCCACGTGTCAACTTGGGGGCCGTTGAGTCACCTAAAGTCCCGTCAACTGCCCTCCAGCCTCTATTCTTCTTTCAGAGTGGGACAAGTGGCGCATAGAGATTGGTGGCTTGCCGAGTATGCCAGGGTGATGGGCAGTTACTTGCATGTCTTGTGCCGTTTTTTCAAATTTCTGAATGATTTCTTGCCCCTTCGATTCCCACTCCCTCGGTAGGGTATAAACAGGAGATTGTTTGGCCATTTTAAAACTTTGCATCTTCAAGTTTTCCTTCAGCAATCAACTCCCAAGCATTTTTTTCCAATCTCCCGGGCACTCTTCTTCAATCTCCCGAGCATTCTTGAAGATCTTCCTGTAAGTACTCTCCCCCTCTCGAGTTTCTTTCTCGTTTTCTCATTCTCCTTCTACATTTCCTAGATTCCCTCCTTGGCTAGAATATGTAGAACAGTGGTTAGGGCACCTGTTAGGGCTAGGGTCAACCGAAAGTTGAGAAGAACCGAAGTAACTAAAGACAACATCCAAGCCTTTAGGGACATATACCAAATTTTTGAGCCCGTTTTCATCTTTCCTTTGATTCTGACTTCCATAAGAGAGACATAGGGAGTGTAGAGTTCATGCCCTTTTACACTAAAGCCATTATGGAAGGGGGAATGACATTCCCTT